GCTGGCACAGGACAGTGGAGCAGCCAACACACAGGACTACCGTCTGTGCATGGCTAAAGACCGTGGTGATTTTATAGCATCCTGGGCACTTCACGTCCATGAAGTAGGAATTGGGGCTCTGCACCAGGCGCTTCTTCTTGTGCTTCCTCTTCTCCTCCTCCAGAGAGGGATGAAGGAGATCTTTTGCGAGAGGCATGTTCTCGTGGGGAGTTCGTCACCGCCGGAAAGGCTGCATTTTTCTTAGTATGTATATATCTGTGTAGAAGTATAGGATTAGTTGTGTGTGGTATCATGTTGGGAGTGTGTATATGTATATGTTTACACACACATATATAGTGAGATTTTATTCTCTGTTGTAGCACCACAAAATTGACTTATAATACCAATTTGATAAATCCTAAATATTAAATTGAACATACAGCAATTTTATTTATTTATTTTATTTTTTATTTTTATTTTTTAGTGGAACTGGGGATTGAACTCAGGCCCCAGTCCTTGCCAGGCAAACGCTATTCCACTGAGCCATCTCCCCAGCCCCATACAGCAATTTTATTTTATTTATTTTTTATTTTTTATTTTTTTTAGCAATTTTAAATGTGAGTTTTCATTGTTCAGAGCTGGTAAAGGAAGATTATTATGTATTGGAATATGAATAAAAGGCTTTGTGTATATTGATATCAGGCTTTACCAGGAGAATAGGGTTATTCTGAGTGCTAACATTTCTTTTTTCTCCACATCCTGTTTTATAATGGTGATGTGGAGAAAGAAGAAATGTTAGCACTCAGAATAACCCTTAAATGCTAAATAATGTGTTAACATATACTGACAGTATATGGTAATAGTGGCATTGATATATAAATTATGGCTCATTATAACATCATTAATATGCCTCTTTTAAATTTTAACAGGATTGGGAAAAATGGTAGGAAATTCATTTGGTAAAGTAAGTAGCTGCAAAGATCACTATGGAAAGTTAATACCAAATCCCCTAGAAGATGAAGTACATGAAGCAGTCAAAGACACTTTTGAAGAAGATTGTTTTTCACTGTATTTTTCCAAGTATAAAACAGGAAATCTACAAAAAACAAGCAAGATTAGGAAAAAAATTTTCCATGAAGAAAGAACTAATGACCGCAGAGAAGAAGCTAAAAAACACATGAAAGAAAATAAACATTCATTTGCATCTGAAGTGGAACCAAGTGATAGTGATCCTTTAGGTTCAAAAGTACCAAGTCAGAAGCCTTTTGGCCATGGCAGTGACAGAATCTCCAAGGAAGCTGTACCATCTTCAGGCTGTGAATGGTCTCAGTTAACACTCTCAGGTCTAAATGCAACCGAGATAAAGGAAATAGCTCTATTGCCTATTTCATCTTATGACCAAAATAATTCTGAAAAAGACTTAATAGATAGTGAAAAAGAAAGTGGGAACCATAGTACTTCAGAAAATTGTTTGCCACCTTTTTCTAATCTACCAGAGAATATATCACCTGGGAAAAAACCTGCAGGTGAGCGAGATAAAGAGCAGCATCTTGAATCTAATAAAGACTCCATTCTTGCAGTGAAAGAGGCCATTTCTGGGACTTCTCCAGTAACTCCTCTATTTCAGGATATCAAAAGCTCTATATTCAAGATGAGAGAATCATCTGAAGAGACTTTTAGTACAGTTTTCTCAGATAACATGATCAATCCAAACTTCAAAGAAGAAACTAAAGCCTCTACAAGTGGGCTGGAAATACATACTGTTTGTTCACAGAAAGAAGATTCTTTATGCCTCAGTTCAGTTGATAATGGAAGCTTGCTGGCCACTATCACACCTTCTTCTGTAACTTTGAAGAATACAGGTTTAATATCCACTTTGAAAAAGAAAACAAAAAAGTTTGTTTATGCTGTAAATGATGAAGCATCCTGTCAAAGAAAAAAAGTACAGAAAGATCAAAAAACAGAACTAACTAGTCATTCGCCCCAGTTTGAAGCAGATGTTTTTGAAACATCACTTACATTTGCAAATGCTGGTGCAGGTACCATTTCTTGTGTATTCATTTGATGGTTTGTCAAAATGTTCATACACTTTTATGGATGATAGTAAGTTCTCTTATTTGATTATGTGTTTCTTTAGCCTTTTTAAAAAACACATGGCCTGCTTCTATAGTTTTGTTTTTTTTGGGTTTTTTTTAAGGTGCTTATATTTGGAATCAAACTTAGCAGATCAGTTTGCACAGTATATATGTTTGGGTTTTTTTTTTTTTTTTTATGTTTCATTTTGTTGGCAATACTGAAGACTGAGCCCAAGGTTTAGACAATTTGCTGTACCTTGAAACTGTATCTGCAGCCCTTATTTCTTTTTTTAAAAACAGGTCTTACATGCTCAAGCATTAGTTCAACAGCTTCTCAGCCCTCTGGGCCTGTGGTATGTGCTATTATGCCTGGCTTCCTCACTGTTAAGACAGATTCTGACTTATAAACAGAAAGGGCTTGGCTTCTTAATTCCTGCTTTAATTTAAAAGTGCATATTATGTGCAAATTAAGCAGATTTATATGTGTGATGTTATTTGCTATGTATTTTTTCTAATACATATAAAAAAAATACAGAAGGTAATTTCTAATTGAATTTACTATGACAGTCCTAAAATGTTTTTTACTGTTGTTGTATAGTGTTCTTAAATATTTAGAAGTTTCTTAAAGTTACTGCTTTATTTTTGGGTGACCAGTATGTAAATAGCAAAAGTCATGTTTTATTGTGACAACAGTTCACTTAACAGTAACTAAGCTGTATGTTTAAAAAGAGGCTTAAAACTCTGGCATAGTGGCACTCACTTGTAGTCACAGCTATGTGGGAGACAGAGTCAGATGGATTGCTTGAGCCTAGGAGTTTAGGTCAGCCTGGAAAACAAGCCTCATCTCAAAAGAAAAAAAAAATTATCTGCCTATGAGAAGATGTTAATAGGCTATAATGGTAGTGGATAGGATTAATGGTACTGGAGTACAGAGAGACTGTTTAAAGTTTGAATTAAATTTCCAGAAAAAAATGTCTGATATTCATTCTCATCCTCCCTCCCTCCTGTTCTCCCTCCCCACCCCTTTCTTCCTGTCTATCCCAGAGTTAAAGTTACTGAAGTAGTTAGTACATTGTAATAATCACTTATTAAATGAAATGAAATTAAGACTTTTGACTTATTAATAGAAAATTGAAGAAAGAGAAAACACCAGTTTAACTCATTTTGCCTTTTAACTGACATTAGCTCATCATTTGAGGCCTTGCATAGATTGTTTTTCTTTTTGTTTTTTCAATACAAAGGAATTAACTGCAAGAAATTTTTAGTATTCTCATTTCTGCCTTGCTTTTTGTCTCCTTCCATACTAATTTTGGCAATGAAGTTTCTTCCAATTTAATTTGCCAATAAAAATTAAGAGTTTTTCTGCTTGGGCAAATGAAGTCAGGCGCATAGAACCACAGTTCCATTCTCAGCTACAGAAGCTGCAACAGACCTACCCTTAAGGCTGCTTGAAGTAGCCAAAAAAAAAAAAGACCTCAAATATTCCAGGCCTACCATGCTGGCCCCATCCCAGGCTCACTAAGATGACAATTGAGACTGGGCATGGTGACATACGTACCTATAACTCCAGCTCTTGGGAGGCTGTAAACAGATCACTACAAGTCCGATCTAGTAGTGAAACCCTGAATACCCTTCCCTAAAACACACACGCATAAAAAAAATTTAAGTATTTTTTTGTTGTTGTTAAATTTGAATTTTATTTATGGTAGCTAGCACTTAAACTACATTAGATAAAGCAATTTTGATTATGTTGATATGTTATTTTAAAAAATACCAAAGCTCTATCTTTGGCTAGAAAATGTAGTACCATCACAATAGAGATATGTAGAATTCTGTTTTAAATCTGATTTTAAACACTACTCTTTTAACTTAGAATATTTAATGATTGTGATGCTGCTTTAATTTTGTGGTTTTGTGTTCTTGTGTTTAGGTTTATGGTATTCTTCTGTGAAAAGAAACTGTTTACAGAATGATCCTGAAGAGTTGACCTCTTTAACCAGCTGTTCTAGGACAAATCTGAGAAAATGTTCCAATAATGAAAGTAATTATATTAATACAATAATATCTCAAGATCTTAATTATAAAGAAGCAAAACTTAATAAAGAAAAACTACCGTCACTTACATCTCCAGATACTGATTTTTTGTCATGCCTGCAGAAAAGACAGTGTGAAGATGATCCAAAAAGCCAGAAAGTTTCAAATATAAAAGAAAATGTCTTGATTGCAGTATATCAGCCTGAAGTTCAGCATTCAGAAGTAAAATATAGTGATATTCCATTTCAGTCACAGAAAAGCTTTTTTGATGGCCATGATAATACCAGCCCTCTTACATTGCCTCCTACCTCCAAGGATCCTCTTTCAAATCCAGTTGGGATTTCTGAAGGAAAGGAATCACGCAAAATATCAGAGAGCCTAAACTGTAAGAATTGTGACACTGATTGTGAATTAGCTGAAAATATTTCCATTGAAAAAGATCAAGGAATATATGTTTTAAATGGAAATTATGAAAAAGTCGAGCTGTTACCTCCTGAAAAATACGTAGCAGCATCACCTTCAGTGAAGATACCATTCAACCGTAATACACATCTAACCGTTATCCAAAAAGATCAAGAAGAAACTTCTGTAATTTCAGAAATGACTACCAATCCAAATTCTGAAGAACTTTTCATAGGCAGTGAGAGTAATTTTGTCTTTCAAATAACTGATGAAAGGAATAGCCCTGTTTTAGGAACGACGAAGGAAATTCATAGATCAGACTGTAGTTTTATAAAAGAGCCCATTCTCCAGAACTCTGCTTTGGTAGTAGATACAGATGTAGGTGACAAACAAGTGTCCCAAGTGCTGATTACTGAAGATTTTGACCCATCAAATATAATACATGATCTTAAAGAGAATAAAAGCAGTATAAAGCAGCACCTAGCATCAGATCAAGACTTGAAATCAGATATCTCCTTGAATAAGAAACCAAACAGAAATAATGATTACACACACACAATGACAGGGATTTTAGATCCAGTTTCGAGTCACAGTTTTGGAGGTAGCTTCAAAACAGCTTCCAATAAAGAAATAAAAATCTCTGAACATGACATTAAGAAAGGCAAAATGCTCTTCAAAGATATTGAAGAACAATATCCTACTAGTTCATCTTCTTTTGAAATTGTAAATACCTTTCTAAATAACCAAAAGAAATTAAATAAGCCTCATGTATGTGATTCACAGTCAGTTAGCTCTGTGTCTACTTATGTCCAGAGCAGTGCATCTGTTTCTCATGGTGAAATTAACCACACAGCCTTCCAGATGTTATCTTTAAAGCAAGATTGTCATTTAAACTATAATTTAACACCTAGCCAAAAAGCAGAAATTACAGAACTTTCTACTATATTAGAAGAATCAGGGAGTCAGTTTGAATTTACACAGTTCAGAAAACCAATCCACCTAATACCTAGTAATACACTTGAAGTGCCTGGAAACCAGATTACTGCCTCAAGTACCACTTCTGAGGAACTGAAACATGTTGATCTTCATCCTGCAATGAATGCCTCATCTACCAGTCAGGTAGATAGCAGTAAAAAATTTGAAAGAGCACTTGGGGAAAAACACAAGTTTGCTTGTTTACTGCAAAACAATCCTAACCAAAGTGCTGCTGGTTTTTTAACAAATGAAAAGGAAGTAGAGTTTAGAGGTTTTTATTCTTCTCTTGGCACAACAAAACTGAATGTTTCTAGTGAAGCTCTCCAAAAAGCCTTGAAACTGTTCAGTGACATTGAGAATATTAGTGAAGAAACTTCTGCTGAAGTAGACCCAAGTTTCTGTTCAAGGAGATGTTCTGATTCTGTTCTTTCAGTGTTGAAGATAGAAAATCATAACACTGATAAAAATTTAAATGAGAAAAGCAATAATGGCCAACTAGTATTACAAAATAATGATGAAAGAACTACCAGCGTATTTGTTGAAGAAAATACTGAAAATTACATGAGAAATACAGAAAATAAAAATAATGAATATATTGGTGCTTGTGGAAATACTTGCAAATTGAGACAGCTTGGTGACACTGATTCAAGCAAAAATGGTACAGTTTATATTCATAAAGATAAAAATGATTTTCCATGTAGTGATCAGCATAATATACATCTTAAATCATCTAGCCAGTTTATGAGTGAGCTAAATACACAAAAAGAAAGTTTATCAGATTTAACTTGTTTGGAAGTTGTAAAGGCTGAAGAAACATGTTATATTAGTTCAAATAAAGAACAGTTAACTGCAAGTGAGATGGACCAATATGCAAATAATTTTGATATATCATTTCAGACTACAAGTGGGAAAAATATCAGAGTCTCCAAAGAGTCATTGAATAAAGTTGTAAATTTCTTTGATCAGAAACCAGAAGAGTGGAATGACTTTTCAGATTCCTTGCATTCTGAATTACTTTCTGGCAGAAAGAACAAAATGGACCTCTCAAGTCATGGGGAAACAAATATGAAAAACAAAATATTGGGAGAAAGTACCCCAGCTTGTACTGGAACTGAGTTAAGTTTCCTGCAACAACCTGAATATAAAATAGGAAATATCAAAAAACCTAACCTGTTGGGGTTTTATACAGCTAGTGGAAAAAAAGTAAATATTTTAAAGGAATCTCTGGACAAAGTGAAAAATCTGTTCAATGAAAACTGGCAAGATGGTAGTAAAATAACCAAATTGGGCCCTCAAGTAGCAAAGAGCCTAGAAGACAAAGAGGACTGTAAAGAAGGGCTTGAATTAGTATGTGAGACAGTTGAGAGGACAGCTGTCCCAAAGCATGAAATGCCCAACCTGAGTAATAGTTTACACAGACAACCTGAAAATCTCAAAACATCAAATAGTATCTCTTCAGAAGTGGAAGTACATGAAAACGTAGAAATAGAAACAAATCCCCCTATAACTTCTGGCACAAGTCAGTTCCCTTACTCAGCTATTAACAATTTACCTTTAGCATTTTACACAGGACATGGTAACAAAATTTCTGTGAATCCGGCTTTACTATTTGAGATGACAAAGTGGCTGAAAAGAGAATTGGATGATGAACAAGAAGAAATAAATGCTGCTAAGGTTGTATGTGTAAAGGAATATTCTCAGAATTATGTGGGAAATCCTTCAAATAATATTAGTTCAAGTAGCATCATAACTGAAAATGACAAAATTCATATCTCTGAAAAACAAGATTTAACTCATTTGAGTAGCAGTAGCATGTCTGACAGCTACTATTTTGATGTTTGTCATTCTGATGATACATATGATGATTCAGGATATTTCTCAAAAAATAAATTTGATTCTGGTGTTGAACTAAGCGTGAATGTCAAAGATAAAAAGAACACTGGCTTTTCTGAAGTAGTACCCGCTGTAAAAGAAGTAAGCACATATCCACAAGCCATAAATGAAGATGTTTATGTTCAGAAACCTGTGACTAACTCTTCACCATGCAAAAATAAAAATACAGCCATTAACTTGGCTGTAACTGATTCAGATAATTTTGAGGTAGGGCCCCCTGCATTCCATACAGCCAGTGGTAAAATGGTCTTTGTTTCACAAGACTCAACTAAAATAGTAAAAAATATATTTACAGCAAACTGCAATAAGATAATTAACCAAAACACTGAGAATAAATCAGACATTTGCCAAAGAATATCTGTGACAACTTATAATAAGCCATTGGATAATTCAGAGGATGTTATTTTTCCTAACTCTCTAGATGATGAAAAATGTGAGCACTCCAGTGAGAACTTTGCTGATACTCAAAGTGAAAGTTTACAACGTAACAAAAGTATGTCTGGGCTAGAGGGAGTTTGTGAAAGACCATCTTGTGTTAGCTTGGAAGCTTCAGATACATGTAAACTTAATATAGGGAAGCTTCCAAAGCCGATCTCTTCTACAGGTGTTCGTGGAATTTTTAGCACAGCAAGTGGAAAATCTGTAGAAGTATCAGATGGTTCGTTACAAAAGGCAAGACAGATGTTTTCTAAATCGGAAGATAGTGCCAAGCAACTGTTTTCCAAAGTATTTAAAAGTAATGAACATTCAGACCAATTCACAAAAGAAGAAAACTCTATAATGCATACCCCCCTAAAAGTGCTGTTACCTCCAAAAAACTTCCAGCATAATGCAAGTTCATCTGCTTTCTCTGGATTTAGCACAGCAAGTGGAAAACAGGTTTCAGTTTCAGAAAGTGCCTTACACAAAGTTAAGGGAATGTTAGAGGAATTTGATTTAATAAGAACTGCTTCTACTGTTGAGCATTCACCTTCATCTAGACAAGATGAATTGGAAATACCTCTTTGTATTGATAAGAGAACTCCAGAACACTCTATAGACTTTAAAACAGAAAAAAACTGCAATAATGAACTCAAATTACCAAGTAACAATAGTACTGAAGGAAGTTCTTTAAAAAGTAATGACTTTGTTAAAGTTTCTCCATGTCCCTCTCAGTTTAAGCAAGACAAACAACTTGTATTGGGAGCCAAAGCATCACTACTTGAGAATACTCATCTTTTGAAGAACGAACAGGCTTTCCCAAAAAATGAAATGGAAATTGGTAAAATTGAAACTTTTTGTAGTGATCCTGTGCAAATAAGTGCAGAAGTGTGTTCTTATCACAAAGAACCAAAAACCTACTTTGAAACAGAAGCAATAGAGATTGCCAAAGCTTTTATGGAAGATGATGAGCTGACTGATTCTGTACCACCAGGTCATCGTACACGTACACACTCACCTTTTGCATACCAAAAAAATGAAAGGGTTTTGTTAAATTCAAGAACTGGAAAAAGAAGAGCAGGTGCTCTTGTTTCAGTTGGTAAGTATCAGCTCTTTTTGCATTGCCAATCTCTTTTAAAAGTGTTCAGTCAGGGCCGGGGAGATGGCTTGGTAGAATAAGCGCTTCCCTGGCAAGCACAAGGGCCTGAGTTCAATCCCTGGTTCCGCCAAAAAAAAAAAAGTGTTCAGTCACAGTAGTCCTGTTGTTCTAGTAATTAGAGTGTTAACAAGTTTATGTTTTACATGTAGTTTGAGAGTAGCTTGATTGGTATCTGTAGTTTATGTACTGAAAGTCATGTTTTAAGGGTCTCAAGTATTTTTTCAGATTATTAGTATAGGTACATTTGAGAAATTGATGTTGAAGTTTTGAATTCTTCTAGAAAAGATGATACTCTTCACACAATGAAGTCAGCATAGTACTTTCTGACTTTTCATATAGATTCAGAATGGTTCTTTATTTTAAGTTGGTTTTTAGTCAAACCACTCACTGAGTATTATATGGCACCTAGTCATACTATTTAGCTTCTCAGAGCCACAGTTTCCATATCTTATGCAAACACCACCCTCTTAAGTAAATGTGAAGATAAACTTATGTACCTGAAGCACTTAATACCAAAGCTGATGCATAGTAGGGAGAAGGCATTCAATACTTGTTAGCTTCCTTCATATTTTCTTTCTAGGAAACAGTCTAAAAATAGTTATTGTTAGAAACCAGTATTCTTATCTTCCTGGTGTTGGAACCATATTCTCAATGTGTATCTAACAACTGAGTTTAACTGTTAGGTTCACTGGATGTGTAGTGAAGTTTCCGGTAGTCTCTGACTATAATCTTAAATTACTGAATTTGTTGATTAGTTACAATTAAAGTAAATGCCAAAACTAAGTCTCCAACTCTTACATAGATGAGGTAAATAACTAGTTACTTTTAGACACCTATAGACTCAGAATATTTCAGTTATCAAAAATGTTGTCCAGAGATGGCATGGTGGTACGTGCCTGTAATCCCAGTGCCTGGGAAGCTGAAAACAGGAGAATCACTACAAGTCTGATCTGTGTAGTATAAGCCCTGCACTAAATAAAAAAAAAAATACTGTCCAGTGCCTTCATATTGCAGGAAAGATAACAAACTAGTTAGTTGATTAAGTCCTCCTACTGGAGTGTTAGCCAGCTTACGTTCTGTACAGAATTTACTTCATGGACAAGTAGTAAGTTTAAAACACTTACCTGAGACTATTTGAAATCCTTTAGTACAAAATTCAGAATTGTATGTAAAAGATATCGATAATTCTTTTGTGAAAAAAATGATTTTATAGTAATCTGTTCTGTGGTCTACTGAAGCTGCCTTCCATCTAGAAGAACAGGATAAATGACTTCTAAATATTCTCAACAGTGTCACTATATAATTTCTCTGACTTATATATAAATATGTAGTTTATCAACTTTTGTTTATTTGAATAGTATATGTTTTTTTGAACAGTTAAAAATCTGAGAAAGGATTCTAATATCCCAATAAAGACTAGCATGGGCATTTCTACTTAATAAGCCCTACAAATTAGTTTCCTGTAATAAACTACCAAAAAAGGAAAATATTTGCTACCATGTATCTCAGCATGACATAGAAATACATACCTTGAGTTGTGGCCTCTATAAGCCTTCTATCATTGAACTGTATTCACAGCCCAGCATTTTTAAATAAGGAGTGTTATAGTTATCAGTGTCTAGGGATGTAGCTCAGTGGTAAAGCAACCACTTAGCACACATAAAGCCTAAGATTCAATACCAAGACCACAAGAGACAGAGAGGCAGAAAGGATCAATAAAGTTATGACTGTTACTAGTATTTAAATATGCTTTGGTAATTTAAAAATACTCTCCAACCTACTGAGAGTAACCTAGGGGTCTATATAATAAATTCATCCTTAAGTTTGATATCTTAGAAAAAGTAAGTTTGGAGAAATGTTGTTTGTCCTTATTGTCAGGACTTAAGAATTATGTATTCAGTGCCACTTTTTTTTTTTTTTAAAGTAGCTTGTTGCTGGACAAGGTGGTTCATACCTGCAATCCCAGTACAGAAGGATTGCTGTGAGTTCAAGGCCAGTCTGGCCTACATAAGTGAGTTGAAGGCTAGCTTGCACTACATAGTCCCTATCAACACCCCCTCCAGAAAAATAGATTGTCTTTATGATCAAAAAGTGGTAAAAATTAAATTGTTACTGAAAAATGATTTTTTTCTTTTAAAAGAATGGTCACTGTTTATAATTATATATTTTATATAGCATATTATAAGTCATTTTAATTTTTTAAGTAGAATGTAAGGTTTTAAAAATGAAATTGATATAATTTATAGACATTTATGGAAATTTGTTTTTAGGAGAATCCCAAATCAAAAGAAGCTTGTTGAATGAATTTGACAGGATAATAGAAAATGAAGAAAAATCTTTAAAAGCTTCAAAATGTACTCCAGACGGTAAAATTTTCTTTCTGCTCATATTTTCCCTCTATAGGTACAAATGTGTTTTTTTCTCAGCTCTTTTTACTATACATCTTGGAAAAGATTTTATAGTATAGTTTAATTGTAACATTGTATCTTAACTTGTTTGTTAGTTTTTCTTCACATTACCTAGTCTGATGGTAAGGTTGCCTATAATTGGAAAGTTTAGAATAATTATAAGATAACAACTTTAATTTTAAAAAGACTATAAGAATTAAGCTAAAACTATTGTAGCATAATAATTTAAAGCCCAGGTTCTAGACTTTAGTCAGGGTTTTGATCACCATTTCACCAAAATTACTCTTCTCTACGTCGTAACTATCTCCATGTTGCCAAACCTAGTGGGCATTTCTTGGTCCTTATTGGACTCTGTGTTCCAAACATAGTTGATTGCTTCTGCAGCCCACTATGATCTCTTGTTGCTTTTCCTTAATGGCTGTTCATGCGCAGTTCTTTTAATAATTCTTCCGTATTTTTTCCTTACTCTAACCTCAGGGATCCTTAGGTCTGTTCTCCGCCTAAACTTCAGTGACTACCAGAACTGTACTTGCAGCCTTAGGCTAAAGTTCAGCATTAACTCCAGACTCATTCATTTGCCCGCTTGATCATCTCTACATGGACTGCTACAATGCGTCCCGAAGTTAGGTGGCCATTGCTGAACTCCTTATTCCAGCAGTGCTCCAAACTTGTTCTGTTGCCTTTACTTTCTCAGTAAAGGGTTGTGCCATTCTGCCATTTGACCATATCAAAGTTTTTATAATGCCTTTTGGTCTTTTGTTTCCTTATACTGCATACTTGTCCATCAACAAGTCCTGGAGTGGGAGAGTTTCATGAGGGTTTAATGGCACTATGTCTTGTATTGTACTACACATTTTCTTTGATCAAAACATTCACTGTACTTTTTATTATACCATACACACTGCAAGAGAAAGAAGAATATATACTATATAAGTATCAATATCTGATATAGTCTAATTTATAATAGTTCTCCTACTTTTTAAGCTTTTTTATTTTATTTTTTATGATATCATCATCTCATTTTGACCAGGCCAATTATTTTGTAGATTGTCTGCATTTGTTTGCTTTTTGAATCATTTAACTTACTGCTCTATTTCCTGTTTGAATAAAAGACTTAATTAGGATTATACAGTTTTGACAAAAATGCTTCATAGAAGAGCTTTTTACATGTATGGCATCATATTGAGAGCACAGAATGTCACATGACTTGACAAGTTGGTTAAGATGCTAATAACTATCATGTCATTTTATCGAAAGATATTTTCCCATTTGCATTTGGCAAATGAGCTATGAGATGATACTTTGTTACTTTGAGGATATACTGTGTATATAATACTCAAAATTTTAGCAGCCACTTGCATGAGTCAGTTGTATAATTAGAGGTTGAAAAGCTAGTTTTCATGTTTTTTGTTTGTTTTTAGTGATACTGGGATTGAGCATAGAACCTTCTTGCTGAGTCACAACCCCAGTCTTTTTATTTTTTATTTGGAGGCAACATCTTACTAAGTCTTGCTGGCTCGGCTCGAACTTGCAAACCTCATGCCTCAGCCTCTCAGGGTTTCACCTTCTTTTACTTTTTGTATATTTACTAACCACTATTAAGATGTAAGGGCTTTATATTAGCAGCTCAGAATGAACTATATTTCTTTCTAAAGAGGTAAGATAAATCCTTAATTATTTCCCTATAATTATAATTTTTCAGAATAAGGAGTAAATTCATATAAAAGTCACTGTTAACAACAACAAATAATTTTATTTGTTGAACAAAATTTATTTCATGGATTTTTATTTATAAAGTACATAAAATTTGTAGGCAATTATACTGTAACTGTTTATTTAAGAAAAGAAAACATGTTTCTTAGTGTTCAAATTATCCCACATTTGGAAATAGAAACCTCTTCCGTTTCCCAAGGGATTTTGTTTTTGTTATTAACATACCCTGATTAATTTTTGAGCATGTCTTGCTTTTTGTTATTGCAAAAGGTTTTGTAGAATCTTTTTATTAGTACATTTTTTAGTTTATTGTGTTCACATTCCTTGGGAATTGGTACATGTACATATCTTAGTTCTGTTTCATTTTTTGTTCCCATCCCCTTCCTCTTCTTTCCCTCTCCCCTCTATCTCTCACTTGACTCCACTCTCCCCTCCTTTTTAAATTTTTTTTTCCTTATGTATTTAGTATAGGGTCTATAGGATCTCACTACACAGATCAGACTCATAGTGATTCTCCTGTTTTCAGCCTCCCAAGCACTAGGATTACAGGTGCACGCCACCACACCCAGTCTCAATCTCTGTCTCAGCATGCCTCAGGGGGCGAGGGATTGAACCCCAGCTGCTGCATCTGCCTAAGCAGGCACTTTAATCTGCTGGGCCATCTGGCTGGCCCTTTACCTCCTATTCTTTGTAAATGTTTGCAGTATAATCCTCGTGTGGAATTGGCAACTGTATATAACACATCCTACTTGCTTCTTTTCATCCCTTTTCCTCCCCTACCCTCCACCTCTGATCCCTTTTTCATTTTAGGAAGATCTGCCTCCCTCATTCCTACTATCTTTTAGTTTGCTCTTATACTTTGGGTTTCTCATGTAAGAGAAACCTATCATACCCTAGTGCTGGGATCAGCCCTTTTTCCAAAGATCCTTTCAGTAATTAATATTTTATAAAAACCAAGATTTGGATGCTAGCCATGCTATTACTGCTGATAGTGTTACTGTTTTATTTACATTCTTGGTTTCTCATTAAATCATTTATACTTTGCTTTATGGTTTTTTTTTTAATTTTTTTTAATGTTTCCTTTATTTATTTTTTTCTTTTTTTTTTTAATGGTCAGCTCAGCCCACCCTGCGGGCGGGGCTGGCATGGCATGTGGTGCTGGGGGTCTAACCGAGGTCCCTGCATGCTTGCCTAAGCCTGCGTAAGCAGGCACTTTAGACCACTGAGCTATCTCGCCAGCCCTGCTTTATGTTAAAGCAGTTAAAGCACTAGTTTTGAAGCTTTTTTCCCCCCAAGTCTCAGGATCTCTGTATTCTCAAAACTTATGAAGGCCCTGAAAGAATGTTTGTGTATGTGGATTATATCTATTTATATTTATCATAGAATCTAAAGCTGAGAAATTTTAATTTTTGTAACATTGTTCATTGATAATTTGGAAAATGTCAGATTTCTGAGTCATGCAGATCTTCTAACAGTTGACAAATTGTATTATATATACCCAGTTGATCACCTTTGTTATTGACATCACTGACCTAATCTAAAGAGTCCAAGTATTAAGAAGCTGTCAAGTTCATAGCCGGATACTATTTTCCTCAAATTCCAACTTTTCATTTAAGAGCTTGAATTTTACTTCTGGCAAATATATTGTCGCTTCTTTTCTTTGCAGTGATAAACTCATTCATTTATACCCAAATTCGAGTTGTTGGCTATTCTTCCAAGTAAAAACAGTAATTTTGTGGGGAAAAAAAACAAAACAAAACAAACCAGTAGTTAGCTTGTTCATGGATGTGCATTTTCTTGAGATAATGGTTGCACTGATATAGCAGAATATGCCACCAGGGAAAATATTATTTAGCACAGTGGAAAAGACATATATAATAACTCAGTAGTATTAGGACAGTTTGACAGCTTGAATCCTCTGAAGAACTCCGAGCACTCCTCAGATTTTCATAGAGAATACCTTTGAGAATCACTGTCCCACAGTACTGTATATACATAGAATAGTTTTGGATTCACAATATCAGTTTAAACTACTAACGATAAACCTGCTAAGGGAAAATGAAGAATTCTTTGCAGTTTTTTTCTCCTTAGAAAATTTATCATGTCTAAAGCCATACCACCCTGAACACACCTGATCTTGTCTGATCTTGGAAGCTAAGTGGGGTTGGGCCTGGTTAGTACTTGGATAGAAGAATATATATCATTTAAGGATATACAGTTAAAGTACTGTATTCAAATGTCAGAATAATTCAAGAGTGGCAGAGAGATAGCTTAGCAGCATAAGTGCCTGCCTGGCAAGTGCAAAGTCCTAAGGTTAATCCTTGGTACAAAAACAAAAAGAAGAAGAAAAAGAACCAAATGCTGCTGGCAAACCACCACAGGTGACACCTCACACTCAGTGCCATTTAAAACTAAAAGTTAGAAGTAAAGACTATCTTCTTATAGAGGAAGAATTTATTAGAAATCAGGAACAAGTGAAACCATTAGAAGAAAAGCAAGAGAAGGGAAGGTCAAAGGTAAATGATCTGAGGTGGACCCCAATGTCAGTAGGAACCTTACAAGAGAACATTGATGACAGCCATGCCCTTGTGTCTACATCTGTGGGCTGAGAACACTATGTCAGCAACCTTTCATTTGTAGAGAAGGATCTGCTGAAACAAGGCTGCTCAGTCCTACTCGGGCACAAAGTGCATGCTGTAATCAGGGTGCTGATGGATGACACAGATCCTTAGGTTGCAGTAATGAAGGTGGAAGGACCCGCCAGAAAACCTGTGCTGATACTGGTGGATTGGACAACCAAATCCAGGAAGTGAAATCTGTGGAGCTTCTTCTCACCCATCCTGAATACTATGAAGAAATGGTATAGATCCCCTAAGGGGGTCATTCTTTATGGTCTACTTCGAACAGATAAAACTTTGTTAGCCAAAATAGTAACAAGCCAAGCTTTGGCCGCTTTCTTGAGAGTGCTTGGCTCTGAATTTATTCAGAAGTGCCTGGGTGATGGGCCCAAACATGTATGAGAATTATTTTGAGTTGCTGAAGAATGTGCACCATCCATCATGTTTATTAATAAAATTGATGCCATTGGAAGCAAAAGATATGATTCAAACTCTGGAGGTGAGAGAGAAATTCAGCCAACAGTGTTGGAACTGTTGAACCAGTTGGGTGGATTTGACTTGTGGGGAGACAAAGTTACTATGGCCACAAACCAAATAGAAACTTTTGGACCCAGCACTGATCAGAACAGGGCGCATCAATAGAAAGATTGAGTTCCTACTGCCTGATGAAGAGACTAAGAGATGGCGCTTTTAGATTCACACAGGCAGCCCAATGCTGGCTGATGATGTAACCCTGGACAACCTGACCATGGCAAAGGATGCTCTCTAGTGCTGATATCAAGGCAATCTGTACAGCAGCTGGTCTGATGGCTTTGAGAAAACATAATAGAGTGAAAGTAACAAATTAAGACTTCAAGAAATCTAGAGAAAGTGTTCTTTATAGGAAATAGTAAGGTACCCTTAAGGGGCCTTAACTCTAGTGAACAGCAGTTGCCTTCAGGCAAGTGGTTGGGACTTTTCTGAACCCTGATAGGATGAGGTTTAGGAAGGTGCCCTGAGGGAGACATTTGATTTTTATAGCAAAATGTGGCATGTCTTTTCCAGGATGATGTCTAGGGTGCCTACTGAATGACCTTTGTCTGTGGTCACTGTGCTGTTTCCTCTCTGCTTCCCAGTAAAACATGCTTTTTCATTAAAAAATAGTAATTTTTCAGTGTATGCTGATCAATTTGATAGAGTTGTTTCCATTTGTTTTCAAATTTAGGATTCTTTTTTATTTAAGCTTACACTTACAGAGTTCAGTTGTAAACACTATAGAAAGATATACTTGGAGAAGTTTTGGTTCCATCCTTCTTATTCCTTACTGTTTACCATCTTTCCCACCTGTCATGTTTTTAGTGCTTTCCAATTTACTTTTTAGGATTTTTTTTTTTGTTTGTTTTTTTTTATTTTTTCAACAAATAATACACTGCATATATTCTTCTTAGTGGTTAATTGCTGTACAAGATGCGGACTTGTGATCCTATTTACAAACACCATTAGAACAAAT